TGGCCTGAATAGCTGGGCTTGCTATTTATTGGTGAAATCTAGAAGAACACATTTCAGAGGAGAAAATCAAAAGTTTGCTTTCAGGGTGTAGTTCAGTGGTAGAGTATTTGCCTAGCATGTGCTAGACACTGGGTTTGATCTCTAGCACTGCARGAAAAGATGAAATTTTTACTTGTTAGTTTTGAAATGCCTCTTAGATAAATCTAAATGGAATCACCAACAATATAACAAGGCCAGATGAGATGCCTAGGGAGTGAGTGGAAGACAGAGAAGAGATCCAAGGTCTGACATATATTTGGACAGGACAGATAAATGAGGAGAATCCAGGAATGGAGGATGAGAAGCAGAAACAGCAGTGAGTTAGGAGGAGCATAGGGAACCCRAGGCCTAGGGAGCCAACTATCTAGGGAGCACTGAGTGGTCAGTTACAGCAAAGGCACACAGAGGTTGGAAAGGTAAGTCCTGTAAATAGACCTTTGGTTTTGGCAATGACCTTGACAAAGAAAAGAGCAGCTTCCATGGATTGGTGGGGTTGAATGCCTAATCAGAAAGAGAAGAGTAAAAGGAAAAATGTAGATAATTCTTCAGCAAATGCTTTAATAAAAGAGAGGGAAATAAGGAAGTAGCTGGAGAGGAAGGTGGCATAGCATTTTGGTTTTCTTTATCATATGGGAGAAATAGCYTGTTTGTGTACTGATGAGAATGATGTTGTTAAAGAGAATAAAAACCTGATGATACAGAGGAAAGGGGGAGCCATGCAGGAGGGAAAACCTTCATCAAACAAAGAGGGATGGGGACAGGATCACTTCTAGTCCACCCCCAGTGATGCAAGGCAGGTGGAAYGTGCAGTCTAAAATTTTTGGATTTGATTTTGTGGTGGGAGCACACAGAGGTTTGTGAGCAGCACATTTTTAGAGCACGACTGGTACACACATCTGCAAATAAGTTAATGTTTTCACAGCAAAAAAAAAAAATTAACGTGATGAAGAAAGGAGAGAAGTGGAAGGAAATTTCATAATTTTATTATTTTACAGAGTTCTAACAATCTCTCTCTCTCTCTCTCACACACACACACACACACACACACACACACACACACATACACATATACCTTTCCCTCCATCAAATAATGATAGTCTGCCATGCACTAACTCCATCCCTGGCACCTAAAGTTCAAAATAGAAAGAACACATTATAACTATATGATCCTCAAAATCCTTAATCCTCCGGAGCTGTTGCATATTGTCACTCTAATGACCTCTTTGAACATCTACAGAGGACTTCAGAATGTCTAGGAAGGAACAGTCTTGAAACATTTGGGAAGGAGGTATAAGGTAAAGAGCCTCAGAGCTGCTATGAGGGTTTGTCTTTTGACACTGACCTTTCCAATTTTTTTAATATTTATTTACTTATGTATCTTTTTAGTTTTAGGTGGATACATTAGTTTGTTTTTATGTGGTGCTGAGGATTGAACCCAGTGCCTCAYGCATGCTAGGCGAGCACTCTACCACTGAGCCACCACCCCAGTCTCCAATTTCTTTTTTAAAGCAAGAGTTGAGGGTCAGCTCAGCTCCTCTACTACTTAATGGGAACTACCTACAAAATAATAGAAGTATTTGATGCTTACTATGCACTTAGTACTATTTTAGCTTCTTTACATATCACTTGAAAATCTTGACAACTCTATGAGATGAATAATATAACTTTTTAATGGTAAGAAACAACTTGCCCAAGTTCATACTATTAGTGGAGGAGCCAGGATTCCAAACCAGGCAATCTGTTTGAGGATTTGTGTTTCTTTTTATTTTATTTTTTTCAGTGCTAGGGATTGAGCCCAGGCAAGCACTCTGCCACTGARCTATACCCCCAGCCTAAATGTGTATGTTTTCACCATGTCATCATACACCACTCATGTTAAGGACAGAGATATGAATATAATACAGCTCCTCTCTGCGTAAGGTTCAGAGGGTACCCCCCAGGGGTTCAATGATAGATGAGAGAATCAAGAGTTGAGATGTTCTTAGGAAGTTTGAACCCTCAGTCTGAAGTAACCAAATAAACCTGACTTAGGGAGAACATAAAATCTGAATTTGGTTTCCAAAGTGCAACGTATCAGCACAGCTGAGAGAAATATGTTGTGACCACAAGTTCTCTGGAAAAAATCTGAGTGTTTTTGGTGACCATAGACTCAGCACAAGTCCAGTAAGGTGTTATGAACTCAAGAGCAAAACACTGGGCTTAATAGTAAAAGGGARGCCAAGGGTTCCATGGTGTGGCAAGTGAAAGTCCCCCTGAGCTCTAGCCAGCTCAGAGGACATCTAAGTCCACTCTTCCAAACATAGAGTAATATTTTTGGAGGAACACTGACAAACTATGGTATATTTAGTTGTGGCAGATGGGGAAGGGTAAAGAAATRATAGTGAAACTAAAGACTTATCTTCTTTAACTATTTGGCCATGCCATGGAAAAGTCAGTAGATGAGTTTATCTTCAYAGGACAGAAAAAAAATAAGATCAAAGTGTAAAGTCATAAGATGACAGGTTTGGCTCCTTGGCACCACCACCCACCCCGTTCCAACCCCAGGCTCTGTCTTAAGGGTTAGATGACTTCAAGACCAGGGTCTCCATTTGCTYGCTTTTTCCTTGGTTGACTTTATATTCATATCTCTATCCCTAACATAAGCAGCATATGATAACATGGTTAAAACACATACTCAGGCTTGGAGTGTGTGTAGTTCAGTGGCASAATGCTTGTCTGGCATGTGTGAGGCCCGGGCTTAATCYCYAGCACTGAAAAAACTAAAATAAAACAAAAAGCAAACACAAATCCTCAGCCAAATTGCCTGGTTTAGAATCCCGGCTCCTCCACTAATAGTATGAACTTGGGCAAATAGTGTGTCTTGTTTTTCTTAACATATATATATATATATATATATATATATATATATATACATATACATATATATATATACATATACATATATATACACACACATATATATGAACATATATTTCATCGCATAGAGATATTGAGATTTTCAATTAACATGTAAAAAAAACCTAGAACAGTACTAAGTACATATGACTTCCCAACTTTTTGTTATCAACAAAACTCCCTTTGGTGAAATTCTACTGTCATTTTTCAAAACATCTCCATTAATAGTACCTTTATTCCTCAATTATGGGTTGATTTTATAAATGAGAATATTTTCAAATAACCAATGACCAAACCTAAGGAGAATTTTGATTTGAGGCCTCAATGCTTTTTTTTTTGAAAACACAATTCATTTCCTCCCCAGCCCCCACCCTAGAAAGAGAACTCAGGGCCTCTGGCATGTTAAGCAGGCTACACCTCCAATCCCATATATCTCTTTTTATTGACTCATTGTTCACTATAGTATTGGCTGGTGATATGGATATTTTTCCATCAGAACTCAAGGAATCTGTTTTCTCATGAAAGTCAACATTGAATACAATGTAGTAATTCCAAGTTATTACCACTGGAAGCTAGATTGAAATTAATGACCTTGGAATGGAACACACAAAAAGCGCTGCCCAATCAATTTCCAAAGCTCCCCAAAGCATTGTTCCTAATACTTAAAGTTGATCACAAGGAAATAAACTCTGCTTTTGTTTCTTTTTCTCTTTTGTGGTATAAGATAGAATATGTTGTCTCTGTTATTCACAATTTACAACCCTATGGTTTTCTTCAGCTTATGAAAATGTTTTATAACTTTATTGATACGAATTGTCCTCAGAAAAAAATGTTCTTAATTTAAAATGTGAAGAAATCATTAAAGGAGAGCCGGGTGCARTGGTGTACCCCTGTAATCCCAGAGAATGGGGAGGCTGAGGCAGGAGGATCACAAGTTCAAGGCCAGTCTCAGCAACTTAGTGAGGACCTAAGCAACTTAAATGAGRCCCTATGCAACTTAGTGAGACCCTGTCTCCTAATGGAGGGCAAGGCTGGGGATGTGACTCAATGCAAAAGCCCCTCTGGGTTCAATCCTAGTATCAAAAAAAGAAAGAATGAATGAGAGGAAATATATGTGCCAAATTAGCAATAAAGTCAGCTTATTTTTCCATCATTTTCTTTCTGGGGGCATAAGTTTGCAATTATTTAGAACTAATTGTTAATTATTTTCKGGGAGGGGGCATGATTGAGAGGAATTGGACCCTCAGGTTTACCTGGAGAAAGTGCTATTGGGGCAAATTGAATTGGAGATCTTAGAACATCCTCCCTCTGGGTAGAAGCTCACTGGCAGGTGGAGGTTTACTTACTCTCAGTGAAGGGCAGCTCCATAATTCATGACAGCACTTCTTTTTGGTCCGTGCTGGAGATCCAATCCAGGGCCCTGCCCATTTGGGGTAAGCTGTCCTGCCACAGAGCTACACCCCAGCCCCAACATTTGTTCACAGAACTCTGGACACACAACTTATACTTGAAGGTACAAGTTACCCATTTTATAAACTGAGGCCAGGAAAGCTYAATCTTTTGGGGGTCTCATTGCTTAGAAAGGATGACTTAGTTATAGACACATGTATTTTGATATCCACAGCCCTGGGTACAGAGTCCAGTTCCATGACCTCTGTGACCTTGAGCCTCTGGAACCTCATATCTGTAAAGTGATGACAACTCTTCTTTGTAGGGTTAGTTTGAATATTACAGTTAGGCAGCCTAAGCCTGTGTAGTTCCTGGTCTGGGACAGAGCGAGGGCCCCCAGTTGTCCAACTTCCCTTTTTTTCCTGTTAAAACCCGACTCCTCCATTCAGACTTCACGGCAGYGTCCCCTCCTCCTCCACGTGGCATCTCTACACTTCCCTCCCACAGTGCTGGCTCTCTCCTCATCTTTGTGGGTCTTCGCTTTTATCTCAATTTCTGCAAGAATATGCAATAAATGATTGAATGACTGAGCGTGGTTGGGGAGAGACGAAATCCCCGCCCGCCCCTGGTGCGGCCAGGCACTGACAACTTGACTGTCTGATTCTCTTCCTCCACAGAGGCCTTTCTCACCAGCCACACAGAAACCATCACGGTGGAGGAAGGGCAGACGCTCACTCTGAAGTGTGTCAGTTCTCTAGGGAAGAACGCCTCCCTCCAGTGGCTGGCCCCCTCAGGCTTTACCATCTTTTTAAATGAGCATCCTGGTAAGTGAATGAAAGAGAAAAAAAAGATACACACACACACACACACACACACACACACACACACACCAGACCTTGACCTAAGGGATTTTCCATCCTGGCAGGTTAGTGGGACAGAAAGCTGCATGAGTCACCCTAAGGGTGGGCTCAGCCCTCCTACTGCACACGTGAATCACGCCTCCAAAGCCAGTCATTTGACACATGGCTGCTTTTCTGGGGGCAGGAAGTCTGAAATGGAAACCCCACCAGAATGGTTGTTAAATGGGCTCAAATTACAAAGCACCWTTTTGTGTCCCCCACCTCACCCCCACATTGCTTTTTTGACTCTCGGTGACCATGAAACACCCACAGCAAAATGAGAAGCAGACAGTGGATCSACCTGGGGGCCCTCACCTCACGTAGCCCATATTATCACCCCCACCTCTGAAGCCAGCTGCTTTGTTAGTCATCTGAGCAATCACAAGTCACATTCCAAAGCCCCCTTTCAGAAATCTCTTTTTCCTCCCTTTGGTCTGAACATAAAATCAAGACTTCTAAGCGGGAAAAATTGACAAAGCCGTTTCTCTCTTCTCAAACACACATTAAATGAGCACTAGATGGAAAGCAAGTGGAAAGCAAGTCTCAAAAATCTATTTCATTCATCTCTTGGACTTTGGACAAGATTTTACTAAAGCCTTCCCTTTATCATTAAACCATCTCATGTCTCAATTTAATGTTCCTAACTGCCAGATATTTGATAAAGCATCTATGACAGCAAATTCCATTCTTGTTTACAAAGCAGAGTACCTAAAAATTTTATATGCTTTGAAAACATGAAATATTGATACATTAAACATAAAATAACCATAAATATCGTTTCAAGCTAAACCAACTATTAATACCAGATTCCAATAGAATAAGAAAGTACTAATTGATAAAAGTTCTAGAGAAATAAACTTTAAGTAGAGATTCTTCTGTTAAATAATGCTTTCTGGTGTTTTATTTCATTTTTCTTTGGGGAAATTGGGAGAAGATGGACGTTCTGGGATTTCACCTGCATAATGGCTTGATCTGTCGATGTGGTTCTGCACCTGGAACGGTCTTGCCCTCCAGAAGATTGAACCATGTCTGGAGATGGTTTGGGTTGTTAGAAATAGGGCAGGGGGCTGCTTCTGGAATCTAGCAGGTGAAGGCCCAGGACACTGCTGAACATCCTACAATGAACAGTATTGCATCCATCACAAAGAATTATTCTCTCAAATGTCAACAGAACAGAGATTGAGAATCCCAGAATTCTGATTCATATAATATCAGTGCCCCAGGACACATAACTATTTAAGGTTCAACTATTTTAGGCTTGTTCATATTATACATCTTAACAGTTTTAAAAAACAAGCAAAACCACTAATTTCCAGAGTCTCTGTTTGTTAGGGGATCTTTGACTGCAGATGGAAACCCCATGTCAATCATAGTCAAGAAGAGAGCTTGTTATTGGCTGGAACTTCTTAGAGCTTCCTTTTTTTTGCCATTGGCTAAACACCTGGAAGGACTAAATCATAAACTATGGGAATCTTCAAACAATAATGAACATCTCTAAATTTAAAAATGCTTAGCTTTTTAAAAAAAAAATCACTTAGCTGGTGCATTTATCGGTGCATATATTTCCATTCTTGAATTCCCTGTGACAACATGACCTCCAGTGAATCAAATTTCAAAGAGGTAAATCAGTGGAGCATTTACCTTGGAAAAACAACTAGAATCCTTCTACAATCTGAATCTTTCTCCCGTCTAGCATTCTTAATTTCCTACAAGTACAAACAAAGCAATTTGTTTATTTCGCAGATCCACTATTGAAATATTTTATTTCCTAAACTATCTTTGAGAAGCACCCAGCTGATCACACTAGAATTTGGAGGGCGACTCAAACGAAGACAAGACATTTATTTGTTCCTTTAAAGTGTGAAAATCAAAAGCTATTCCTGTGAATGATCAATCTGTATTCATCTGACACCTTTCCTCATAACAGCTCTATTTTCTTCTTGTACAGCTTTAAAAAATTCCAGATACCAGCTTCTTCATCACTCTGCCACCCAGCTCTCCATCAGTGTGCCCAGCGTAACCCTGCAAGATGAAGGAACATACAAGTGCTTACGTTACAGCCACTCCGTGAGCACAAAGGAAGTGAAAGTGACTGTGTTAGGTGGGTACCCCAGCAAGTAAACCCAGGCAGGGGGAACGTAGTTACCATTTTTAAAACTTGACCTTTTAGTTTACAAAGTGTGGCTAGTAAGAAAGCATTTCCTGGGGCACCTCTGCTATCTTTTGTGAAAGAAAATGAAATAGAGTATTTTGAGTGCCAAGCTCTAGATTAAATTGTGAACTTGTGAATTTATTTGCCTTTGGCATCAATTGAATTTTCTTTCCCGGAAACTAAGAGAAAAAAGAATTAAAACTGGATGAGCTTTGACTATACGCTGGCGCCATGTGAGACTCTAGGGGATCCAAAAGGAATTAGGCGCAACCCCTGCCCATTGGGGTTTGCGCTCTATTTAGGAAGGTAAACTAAAAGAACCTGGTGACAGTGAATCCCAAGAGAGGATGGAGTCGCGTCGTGTACTTGCACTGGATGCTCTGCTCACATCCTCTCCCAAACAATTCCTCTTTTCTGTTGGGGTGCATGCAGACGAAGTGAGTCTCCTGATCATTGGAGATTAGCTCAGTTCTGCAGATGGAATTGTGACCAGCATATGTCTTACCATCTTTTGGTGGCAGAACAGATCAATTAAAAAACATTATTTTATATCCATCTCTAAATAACATAATCCCACAACTCACATAAAATGATTCCTCAGACCTCTGTGGTTGAATTACAGTGTGACACCTGTCATAAAGGAAAGGCCTGGTGGGACTGTAACAGAGAAGAAGTGACTCTCTTGAGTGCTTGGAGCATCAATGTGACTCAGCTCTATGCCTTCTCCCCTGTGTGACTGGCCACCTGTGGTGCCAGCGTGGTTCAGGCTGGTCATGTGTCCTTCTGGGCTTTCAAAACTCTGCTATCATTGCCTGAAATACTTCATCTTTTTTTAGGTTTATGGAGCTGGGGATTGAATCCATGGCTTCACACACACTAAGCACCCGCTCTACACTGAGCTACAACCCGTGATCCTTTAATTAAGAGTTTAGGGGCTGAGTGTGCCACCAGACTGTCAGCTCCTCAGAAGACCCTGTCTTTTTCATCTTTGTGTTGTCAGCATGTGACATATCTAGCGCAAGCTTGGAGCCAATAAGTGCCTTGACAGTGTTTCGATGGCAGATATACGAGTTAAATAAAGGTAGAAGAGCAACATTCTAGACCAAAGTAGAAGTGGGATAGAAAAGAAGAAAAAGAAATAAGCCCAACTAAAAAGTATTTCCAAGACAAAAGCACAGAGAAATAGGACCAATGGGTCCTTTATAAGAGAGAGTGCCTTTGATGTCAGGAGGCGACAGAAGTAACTGACTTTGAGATAAGTCATGGACTCAGGAAAGTTTGGAACTGAAGGAGCCATCTCCTTCACATCACAGGTGAGAAAACACTGGTGTGCCCAAAAGCTGGGGGACTTACCAAAGTTCTTACAACCAGCCAGTGATAGAGGTAGGTCCGGAATCCAGGTCTCTCCCTCACCTAGTGTCTACCAACCAAATACAATAATATATCGCATTCAAATTGTTGTAAAATCATCTGTTTTGGAACTTTCAGGGACTAATTATACCCTGAGTGACAAACAGTCTGACTTTAGCTAAAGAAACTTTGCAAGCATATAATAGCCCTTCAACATGATTGGATTCAAGGAGAGATAAAGTGAAAATGTGCCCATTCATTGGATTATGTCCTACAATCATCCCTACAGAATCTTCGGCTCTGTGCTTTGCTCAGATATGATGACCAACTAAGTAAACATAGAAAAATCAATTTCCTTCTAGCAACTCCTGTGAAGCCAACCTTGGAAGCTTCAGTYATCAGAAGGTTGAATGGAGAAGACCATGTCGTACTTAAATGCTCCACTACAAGAAGCAAGCCCCCTCCACAGATAACCTGGCTACTGGGGAATGGCATGGAGATATATGGTAAGGAGAGAAAACAGTTCTTTGTTTTCCTTTCTCCTTAGATTTATAATGAATTTTTAAATGTTCTGGCGCCCTCTGGTGGCCAGAGGTATCAAAAGATACCATTGAATAATTCATCTATTCTGTTTCCAGAGAAATTATTCTTATTACCAAACCAATGTTATGCCTTAATACTAAAAGACTAATTGCAGAAAATAAAAATGCTTTTGCTTAAAACAAGTTAGAAATAAAGTGGAATATTTATAACATTTTCCTAAAACTTGACAATATTTCCTAAAGTAAGAAGTGTAATATAGTTATTACCTGTGAACAGAAAGTTTTTTGCAGGCATAAAATTGAAAATATATTTTATAAAGTACATATATGAGCATATGGGGATTCTTCAAAAGACTAGAAGTGGAACCACCATATGACCCAGCTATCCCACTTGTTTAAAATTAGCATACTATAATGATACATACATGCCAATGTTTATAGCAGTGCAATTCACAATAGTAAAGTTATTGAACCAGATTAGGTGTCCCTCAGGAAATGAAGAAATAAAGAAAATGTGGTATATATAGGCAATGAAGTTTTAATCAGCCATAAAGAAGAATGAAATCATGTCATTTTCAGGTAAAGAGATGGAATTAGAGCACATCATGCTAAGTGAAATAAGTCAGACTCAAAAAATCAAGGGTCAAATGTTTTCTTTCATATACAGAAGCTAGAGAGTAAGAGAATGGAGAAAAAAAGAAATATTTAAAAAGGTGAGGATCTCACAAAAAATAGACGGAAGACCAATAGAGTAGAGGAAAGCTATCAAGAGGGAGGGAGAAGAGGGCATGGGAACAGAGTAGGGAATGAAATCTACCTGATTATGCTATATCTATATATGAATATACCACAAATAATCATATAATATATATAATCTCATCTGATATGATTAAAATACACTAATTAAGTAACAATGACTACTATAAGGGAAGTCAGAGCAGAGTCAGCAGATCAGGAGAGAGAGCAAGGGAGGGAAAAGGAGGGTACTTGGAAATGAGATTGATCAAATTATGTTGTTTGCAGGTGTGAATGTGGCATCGTGAATCCCACTATATGTTTAATTATTAATGAATTAACTAAAAATGGTAAAAATTTTAAAATAGAATCGAACTAAAAAATAAAATACATATATGGATGCTCCTTGACTTACCATGGGGTTACATCTCAACACATCCGCTATAAATTTAAAATATCTTAAACGAAAAATACACTTAATACACCTAACCTATCAAACATTAATCATGCTTTGAACACTCACAATTTAGCCTATACATGGAAAAAAATCCAATACAAAGACCATTTTATAATAAGTGCTGAATATCCTTTTTTTTAAATTTATTTACTTTTTTATTTGTTCTACTTAGTTGTACATGATAGCAACATGCATTTCAATTCATTGTACACAAATGGAGCACAACATTTCAATTCTCTCGTTGTTCATGGTATAGAGATGCACCATTCGTGCAATCATACATGTATCTAGGGTAATGGTGCCCATCTCATTCCACCATCTTTCCTACACTCATAACCCTTCCCTTCGCCCAATCAAATGTTTCTCCATTCTTCCCAAGGACCCCCATCCCACCCCATTATAGATCAACATCCACTAATCAGAGAAAACATTTAGCCTTTAGTTTTGGGGAATTGACTTAACTTCACTTAGCATTATATTCTCCAACTCCATCCATTTACTTGCAAATGCCATAATTTTATTCTCTTTTAATGTTGAGTAATATTCTATTGTGTGTATATGTATGTGTGTGTGTGTGTGTGTATATATATATATATATATATATATATATATATATATATATATCACAGTTTCTTTATCCATTCACCTATTGATGGGCATCTAGGTTGCTTCCACAGTTTAGCTATTGTGAACTCAGTGCTGAATATCTTGTGTAATTTGATAAATATTCTACTGAAAGTGAAAAACCAGAATGGTCATATGGTATGCTTTCAACCATTGTAAACATAGCCATCATAGGTCAAAGACTGAATGGATTTGTCAAAGACTGAATGGATTTGGAACAAACAAGATCTTCCTTATATAATGTAGTACCGTGTCACACTCATAACCATAGATTAAAAATATTATGAGGACAAAGAATCCAAACTTTCGACCTTTAACTGAAACAGGCTAACTAATTAACTGTGGTGTTGGGAACTACTTAATGGTTTGCTTACATTTCAATATACATTGTCTTTCATAGCTAAGTAATCATACATCCTTGAGAACTGTGAGGACCCTGCACAGTTAAGAATACTGAGGGCCAAATAGAGTGTTAGAGAGAAAAGACCTAAAACCTGGATCGAATTCCCAGTCCATTGCCAATTCTACTTCATCACAAAGCTTCTCCTTTAATTTGCCTTATTCATACAACCTGAGTAAACTCCAGGTCCTTGTGTCCTCCTTATGAAATCACTGTAAGTTTTGAAGTTTTTCCCCAGTAGTGAAGGGTTAGTTGGAGCTCACCCACTCTTGTTCACCTGCTTTCCTTTGTGACCAGAGCCCACACACACAAGGCAGCTGGCTGAGGTTAGATTGCGGTTAGAAATTTATCATATTTGCCACGAAGTCCAAGCCATTGGTCTCTAACAGAACCAAATCCATGGAAGAGCATTAAAAAGCCCTGCTTTTTATCTCTCTTTAAATTTCTACATAGGCGGAACCCACCATGAATTTGAAGCTGATGGGAAGAAGTGCAACACGACCAGCACCCTTGTACTGCACACATACGGCAAAAACTCCACAGTGGACTGCATTGTCCGACACAAGGGCCTAAAAGGGAGAAAATTGGATGCATCCTTCTGGCTTGAAGATTTGGGTAAGGGTTAATGATTGTCTTCAGTCATTTTACATTCACCTTCATATTGCACTCTCAAACCAAATTAAATGGAGTGGGCAAAGCCCTTCAGAGTGAGATTACTGTCAACAAAGATCTCCTTAATAGCATGTTTCTGCAATGATTGAAATTTCTCCAGCTGAGGACAGGACTATAAGGGTTCCAATGCCGAGAAGAGTCCAGGCTGGGCGTGAGGTCTAGCAGAGCACCACATGCAAATAGCACCATTCTCTCTCTTTGATAATGACAGCTAGCAGAACTTGACTGCAGATAGTTTTATTGCAATTACATTGTTGGAGAGAGCATGTGAAGCATACTGCATCGTTGTAGTTGACCCAAAAGGAGATAGTAACTAATATCAAAACTAGTCAATATCATTATATGTTCTTACAAAATAATTGCACAGTTACATTGAGATGGTGGCCCTTTAGATATACTTCGCTGTCTCTGTATTAAAGATTCCCCAAAAGTCCAAGAAATAATTAAAAACCCCCAAACAACTCTTCAAGCCAAGGATCCTATAAGAAGCCGCAGGAATCACTGGCCTGTCAGTAGTAGAGCTCTGAGCTTCATTATTTTACAAGGTACTTCTTGCTGGAAAATGAGATTCCTGAGTACAAGGAATTGTTCACAGGAATGAAAGAGGAAAATGTTGGATGAGGATACATTACTGAAAAATCTCTTTTATCAAATGAAATAATTTATGACAAAAGGCACTCGTTCAGGGCAAGATTGCTTAGTGGAACCTCACTAGGGAAGGCTGCCATGCTAATCTGTGCAGGCTGTTGCTAATCAGCAGGCCTCCTTCAAACTACCACGTGCTTTCCACGGGCCCCTTTCTCACCAACCAAAAGCAGTTTATTGAGGAAGCTGCAGTCAAAGACTCAAGGGCCCACAAACTGGGCTGCACTGTAATCTTGTGTACCTACCCCTACCCCTTGGTGATTCCCCACACTTCCCCCTCCACCAGTGGAATTGGAGCACAGAGACATTTAGGTTCATAAATAAGAGAACCACCAATGTTGGGTGGGAATGTATTTTTACTTTTCAGCAATGTTTCAAGCCACCTATCATTTTTTCCCTCCTTTTATGCTATACTTCTATATGTCTCAAAATTACATCTAGAAATATTTATAATAATAGGCTAAGATGAGTTGTATTTGTGATCTATTGACTATCTAGTGCCATAGTCAGATCTCTAAGTACTCAAAGAGGACCAGCGTCAGCTGGTGGTGGCTTCCATTTGTTTATGACCTTGTTTCTTTGGTGAGCTACGTCTAGGTTGACATTCAGATATTACAAATAGTCATTAGTTTAAAACATGTGCTAGCTGAGGATGCTTTAAAACACATTTACAAGTGAGAGTTCTGACCCTTTCATCCCTGCCCTCTCTGTAGGGTAGGACCTGGGTGGGGGGCAATGAACCACGTCCATGAGGTGCCACACTACACGAGGTGTATTAGAGTAGATCAGACTCACTTCAGAACCACTTACTTCATCTTCTCAATGAGGAATTTTGATTTCCTGTTACTTATCTGTAGATTTTTTTAAAAATTGAACAGTTTTCAAATTTTTTACTTCAGCACCCCTCTACATTCTTAAAAATAATTGAGGACCCCAAAGAACTTTTACTTATTTAAATTATATCTGTCAATATTTACCTATCGGAAAGTAAAGCTGAGGGATCCAAAATATGTACTTATTCTTTTATTTTAAAATAATAAATTCACAAAATGTTAACAGAAATGGCATGTTTTTCTTTAAAAAATATATTTTGTAATACCAAAAATTAGTTAAAAATGGGCATTGTTTTACATTTTGAAGATCTCTTTTGTGTCTGGCTTAATAGAAACAATTAGGTTCTTATAACTTTTATATTCAATATGTTGTTTTGCTTGAACTACACATAATTTAACTTCACAAAAATATGTAATTGGAAGAGAAAGGGGCCCATGGAAATCATGTGGTAGTTTGAAGGAGGCCTGCTGATCACAGCAACGGGTGCATACTTATTTACTTTCTGAGTCTGGTTTAATTCATTGGAAGATGTTCTCCAATTTCATCCTTTTACTAGAAAAACATAGAATTTTATTATCCTTTATGGATGAGTAAAATGCTATTGAATGTGTGTGTATATGTGTGTGTGTGTGTATATATATATATATACACACAAACACATATCATTTTAGAGAATAGTTTTAACAGCCTTTTTTAATAATTGTGGATATTGTTCTTTGAGATTATACTCAACAAGATGTAGCTTCTTAAAGGTTAGTTCCTATGTGGAACCTGGACCCTATAAATGAACTTTTCATAATCTGTTATATTAAAATCCATTGAATTATTTTGCACCTTGAATGAATCTTTTACCTTGGCATGATTTTCATAACACTATGCCTTTGTCATTTGGAAAATACTGAATTACAGAGTTATTCAGATCTTTCAAACGTTGACACATTTCAATATCAAAATCTGTTCCATAATACCATCACTAATATCATCAGATGCCTTCAAGTTCACAGTGGCGGACATGAATTCAAACTTGAAAAGCAGCTAGTGCTACCAAGGAACTATATTTTAAATACCATTTAACTTTAATTAATTAAAATTTAAGTAGACAGTGTAGTTAATGCATAGCAGAGGTCTATAACATTCTGGCCCACTAGGGAGGTAAATGTGGCTAGAGTCCACCTAATCAAAACAAAGTCTAAATACAACTATTCAGCAGCATGTGGACTGAGAAGATAAACCAAAGTACACACAAATTTTAGTTTTAAATATATATAACTAGTTCAAACATACACATATGCAAATTATACATATATAAACATACACGAACATATAATCATCTGAATTCATATACTAATTACTATGTTAAAGGACTTCCATCATTATTGATAAATTGTGTTTTACATGTCCCTAGTACTTCCCACAGGATGCCACTTTTATCATATCCTTCCAGCATTTATATTTGACTAGATTTCAAACTTTCTCCTCTTTGCATCGTCAATAGTCTTCTTCTTTTAGACTTATAGTGTGTACAACTATTCCTTATAAGTGGTTCTGCTTCCTATGGTTTCAGTTACCAGTGGTTCAGCAAGAAGGCTGAGTTACAGTAAGTAAGATATGTAGAGAGAGACCATAGTCACATAACTTTCATTGCAATGTATTGTTATAATTGTCATTTTTACTATTATTTACTGCAATGAATATCTTCCTGTGACTATAAATTAAACTTTGTCATAGGTATGTATGTGTAGGGAAAGCCGCAGTATATATATAGGGTTTGACATTATCCACAGCTTCATCCACAGGTGGTCTTGGAGCACATCCCCCATAGATAAGGGGGTACTACTGTATTACTAGTTCTCTAACATTTCCTCAATAATTCTTTCTTTTCCCAGAATTCTTAGGCATAACTCAAGCTTTTATACTTTTCCAAAAAAATTACACATATTTGATTAATAAGATACACCTTCAAAACCACAGAAAATTTCTAGATTTAATAAACACTGAGAAGCACACAAATTTCATGGAGACATTACTCACACATCACATATTGGTGAATTGACAGGTAGTTGTTACATTCTTCCTGGATGTGGGYCTGTTCACTGATGGGTGAAATCCATCCTAAACTGAACCTTTGGAAACATCTCGAAGTAGTTCTCAATATTATATAATAATATTTAGTAAGCACTGTGCTCCATAAACATCAAGACATTGTACTATGTTGTTGAATGAGCTTCTTACTTCTTATAAAAATACCCAAAGAGGTCCATGCTGTCAGTATGTCCACTTCTGCGAGAAGAAAAAAAAAACTGAGTGTTTCATAAATTAGGCATGTTTTCCAGCAAATAGCAGCACTGGAATTCAACCTAGGCTTGGGGGGACTCCAGAGCCACCTAAGTGATAAATAGGAAGATAGATGTGTGGCTGGGTAGACAGATGGACAGAAAGGTAGAGGGAATGACAGACAGGTAGATGGATACAGACAGAGGCAGTGAACACCCTTTGCCCACTGCTGCCAAGTGCACCAACACTCACAAGTCCAGCATGCTGCATTTGCAACCTGGTCGGGTTAACAGATGGACAACCAGCAGGGTACAGATTGAAAAACCAGAGCAAGAGCTGTGGAATACACAGCTCGGAGGTTTCTGCAAAACCTCCACAAGGAAGTAGCAGGCAAATACGTTCTGTTTTACTGAGCACGATGTGGGTGAAATTGCTCTCTGTAGTTGCAGAATTTTGTTTTTCCCCTTTCCTAGTTACTGATCAAGAGACAGCCTCAGATGCTCCGGAGAAAAGCTCTCTCTCCTCTCAAGACCCTCAGCAGCCCACAAGTACTGGTAAGTGTCTAAATCACTGAAACGTGACAAAAGATCGTGCCTGCTTGGGAAGGTCATTATAAGTTTTAAGAATATTTTTATTTTAATTTTTAATAAGACCACACAAGACCCCCCCTCCCACTGGCTCCAGCTTTGTGTTGTCCTGAAATAGGGCTACATCAGGAGGGCTGACGTATAATGGAGGACCAGAGAGCAACAGCATGCCTTGACCGTTCAGTACTATTTTGCTGGAGATGTAATGCACTCACACACAAAATTGCACACACGATTATGAACTTGAATTTCCTCTGTGGTAAATGACAAGGTTGAATTCATTTATGAGAAGACTCATTCTTGTTTTCCCCTGCCTAGAACAGAGCAAACACAAAACACAGATTTAATTTCATTCCACACAGAGCCCAGAAGGAGGAGCTGGGATCTGGTATTGTCATGGAATAACAAAATCATCTTTGAAGACACATCAATTACTTGGTTGTCAAAAACTTAGGTCATTTTTTTATGACAGCATTGAGCTATATGACCAATTTAGAAAGCTTGGGTTATAACTACAGTTTTATTTTTAATTTTTTTTATATTCCCAGATCTTTAGGCAGTGAATTCACTAGATGGTTAAATTGGAGCAATAATCATATATTTAATTTAGCCTGATAGTTTACCCAGCATAGTCTTTGGCTAAATAACAAGTGCTCAGAAAATTCAGAATGAATGAATAAATGTTATTTAATGAACAGATGGATGAATTTGTTTTGGTGTTTTGAGCAAGACAGTCTCATTCAGGATGCCATAAATTCTTCTATGATCCTTTTCTATTTCTTGTGATATCTCTATAATAATTTCATTTGGTAAGATAAGTGTTTTCACATCATTATCATGTTCATAGTTCTGAGTATCAGACCACATTTTTAGAAATGTGTACCTTGAATAATGTTTAAAAGTAAATGTTTGGGGGTTTTAAACACTGATAAATACAACATGTACCATACAGTTTTCAAGGGCAATGGAAATTGAAAATATTATGAAGTGGAACAGCCACATCACTTGCTTTAATAAGCCAATATTTTTAAACGTGTTTAGAATCTGGTTGTCTTTAAATTGGCTAGCACCACTACTGAGCAACTCAATTTCCTGCTCTGTGTTTTCTTATACAACATAGGATTTAAGAAATATGGTCTCTAAAATTCCTTTCAGCTTCCAATTTCTGTGATTTTATTGTCGCTAATAACACCCATTTTCAGCAGCATGGAAGACTTCATTCCCCTCTGGGTCCACACAGTGGCGCTGTGCAATGAGCTAAAAAGACTTCAAATGGAAAAAGAAACAGAGAAAGAAAATTTGGAAAAAAATATGCAACAAAATCTGAAAAAGCCATCTTCTATTTTTATGATTTGTCTTATCAGGCAACATCATCCTAGAAAATCCTATTTCTAAAGGAGAGGCAACCAGAAGTTTGAATGACAACTGAGGCTTTTACTTCAATATAAAAAGCATTGTTTTGTGCACCTGGGATTATAGGTTCCTATTCAAAATCTTGGGATGCCATATCTGCATGTTTAGTGATTATTTTGAAGTGTCCTAAGGACCTTCTTTCTAATATTCCTGATCAGAAGAAAGTATGAAATAACAGTATAAATTTGGGTAGAAGCTTAGAAAGCTGATCCAAAAGTAAAACAGTAGAATGGCAATTACTAAAGGGTAGGAATGAGACTAGATGGAGGTTGTATAACAGTTACCAAAATACAGTTAGATAGCAGGAAAAAGTTCTAGTGTTCCACAGCACAGCATAATAACCATAGTTTATATTAAACAATGATATACTTTAAACTAAAAGAGAGGAGTTTGAAGGTTTCAAACAAAGAAATGATGAGATGAAAACTCTACCCCGATTTGGTCATTATACACTGTATCCTATAAAAATGTATAATTATTACATTATTTAAAAAGAGAAAATTTTAAAAAAAATTAAATCAGTAATTTTAAAATGAGCTTTTTTTAATAAAATGAGGACCACTTAATATGGCTTTCAAGCTGCTTTGGTCAGAATATATATAGTTATATAGGTAGCTATAATGTTCATTTTATGGTGCTAAAATAGAACACTATACACTGAGTTATTTACAATGAACAGAAACCTAATTGGCTCACAGATTTGGAGGCTGGAAAGTCCAATAATGAGGGGGCCACATCTGATGAGGACCTTCTTGCTAAGAAAGAGTAGGAGAGACAGCAAGAGGGGCAATCCACTCTTTTGCAGGAATGGCCTCCATCCATTTGTGGAGGATGGAGCCTTCACCACCCTCTTAAAGGTCCCACATCCTTACATCATGGCAATGGCAACTGAATTTCAATATGAGATTGGGAGGGGACAGGCATGCGAGCTATAGCAGTTATATGCAAAATCATGAATAGATGACATAGGCATATAACATTTCTTACTTTCTTTCACCATAGTCTCAATGATGGAAAATTCCAGTATACCAGAGATTGACAAGGAAGAGAAAGAGCAAACTACTCAGTACCTTGACTTGACCATTGGTAAGTATCACCCACTGTGTTTAGAATAAACCCTTGACATTTTAACCTCTTAGTGGAAAAATCCAATGGCCTTCTCCAGTCCTCATTTTTCTYGACGTTTCTGCCCTTTATGACACAATGGGTTAATCACTCCCTTGTCCCTTCTTGACTTAGTTGCCTCCTGCCTTCCTTGACATCTTCCTTTGCTAACCATAGTTTTTCTGTATTCATTAGCTAACTCCAGTTCTTCCTGACATCTTAAATGTGGGATATGGCTCAGTTTGTAGAGTGATTTTCTTACATGTACAAGGCCCTGGGTTCAATCCCCCACCCCACAAAAAAAAAAAAATTAAATTTGGGTAATGTGGGATTACTTCCAATTTTACTGCTTCATGTTTTGTACTTTTCTTAATTCTTAAAGAGTTTACCCATTCCCAAGATTGTTACTGTTGCCTGTAGGAGGAAGATTTTCATACCTGTATTTCCAGAACATTCTTCTGAGCATTAGTCCCAGTTTCATTTTTCTGTCTCTCTAACCAAATTTTCTTTCATCTCCTTCACTCAACATTGCTAAAAACCAAATAGCAACTTCTTCCACAAAATCAGCTTGTCCAAAGCAGAGCCCCAAATCTTAGTGTAATCCTTTATAATTGTGGATATATAGATATAGACATATACATATGCAATACCCCCCAGCTTATATAAAAACAGCCAGTTTCCAAGGAGGTTTTTTTTTTTTTTAAGAATTTAACCATTATTTCTTGTTTTGTTTTGTTTTGTTTTATGTGGTGCTGAGGATCCAACCCAGTGCCTCGCATATGCTCGGCAAGCACTCTACCACTGAGCCATAACCCCAGTCTCTCCAAGGAGTTTTGAGTCTTTTTTTTTTTTCAGGTATATTGCCATTATCACTGCCACCCCTGAATTTAGAACCTCATAATCTCTCATAGAGATATTGTAACATCAGTTTCTCTTCCTGGGGTCCATGTTTGGCTCCTATTGACAAAATATCCCTTTGCACTCTGCATACCTGTGTTCTGAAAACCTTTATGGCTTCCCAAAGTATGCAGCACAGAGTTGAGCTCCCCCCCACCACAATAAAGTACACCCCTCCTACCTCTGCAGTCCTTCCTTTAAAGAGTCCCTGCAAAATACACATGTTTCTCTGAAAATACCATCATGTTTCAGCCACACTTCCCTTGTGTATCCTAACTGCCCTGATTGGAAGGAGGAACACCCTTATTGGCCTTGCTTCTCCTGCGAGGCCAATATCTTCCCTGAAAACTTTCCTGGCCAATTCAGCCCTCGGCAACCTCTCTTGACTCTGAACCCCGGAACACATTATTATATCAACACATGTGGACCTAGAATTTTGCATAAGATATCTCACTTTTGTTTGTTTTTGTTAATTAATTTATTTACATATAGAGAAAACTACCCCCTCAAACATAGGAATTGTGTCTTAGGAAGCTCTAAGCATGATGTTCTCCACATGGCTGGCACTCTTTAATTACTTATTGGTTGAGATGAAGAACATTTAGCAAAATTGTAGCCCATAGGATCCGAATTCTAGGTTTAGAAATACTTTTTAGAGCTCATCTAGTTTATCCCCAAATGCCTTCATGAAGAGTCACATTTAACCTAGCCAAGATAAGTAGATTTTCATTTGATTTAGTAGTTCTCCAATCTCCTTAACAACCTCTTTTGCTACCTGACTACATTTTGCTAAAAACCATTTCTTACAGCTAATAAGTCAATATTCTTACATGCTTTCTCTAAAAATGAAAAATAAGTATTTCTATGAAATTAAAACAACTTTTCAAATCATCCTGTTACAGAATTGCTTTGCTTGTTTGTGTGCCTGCTCTGCCCGTTTGCAGAACGTGAATAATGTGTGTTCTTTACCTTCAGCAGTAAGCTCTGCCTCATCTCTTCATCTGGGCTCTCACTTCGCCTATAAAACATTGTGGAAGTATTGTGTATCCCTTAATAATCAAAAGGCAGTGTAAAGAACACTGCCTAAAATCCTCTCATTTCCCTTGTAGAAGCAAATCCTCAGTATATCGAATTGACGAGGAAGAAAAGTGGCATTCTGCTGCTCACCCTGGTGTCCTTCCTCATCTTCATCCTCTTCATCATAGTGCAGCTCTTCATAATGAAGCTGCGGAAAGCACATGTGATATGGAAGAAGGGTGAGTGGACAAAGATACCGATTAAAACAAATAGACTCTGGCTGGACACAATGGCACACTCTGGCCTGAAATCCCAGCAACTTGGGAGGCTGAGACAGGAGGATTGCCAGTTCAAGGCCAGCTTAGCAATTTGAAAAGACCTTAAGCAACTTAGACCCTGTCTCAAAATTAAAATTAAAACTGGACTGCAGATGTAGCTGTGTGGCAAAGTGCCCCTGGGTTCCATCCCCAGTACCAAAATAAATTTTAAAAATAAATAATAAAATATATAGACTCAACACACACCAGAGTTAGAAGAAACCTTAGAAGTTATTTAGAATAATTGTCTACCCAATTCATCCTATAAACATGTAACAGGATTCAATCCTTTCCTCCCAAGGCATTATCTGGACTTGTGCTATCTGGTACAGGAGCCACAAGATGGTTATTGATCAGTTGATGTGTGACTAGTCCCTAAAAGATGTGCTGTAAGGATAAAATACACACCCAATTCAGTATACACACTAGCATGTTCACACAGGAATATGACATACTAACAATCATATCATGGGTGTTCTAGTCAAATAAGTCATGTTATTGAATCAATTTCACCTGCTTCTTCTTACTTCTTGAATGTGTCTAGTAGAATTCTTTAAATCACATGTGTGGCTTCTCCAGTGCTACTAGACAGTGCTGATCTAGTCACATATGGCCTCCAACACCCCCAGAACTATGTATTACCAAGGCAAAATACTACAACTTTGAAGATCTCTGACTTTTTTTTTTAAGTATCACGTCTACTAGTTTAATATCTTCTTTGGATTGTTACTAGACTAATATGCTCATTACAAATAACCTAGAGACAGGGCCTGACTTTTCATCATATCTCTGCCTGCTCAATAGGCAAATGCCATAGGATTATTTCAGAATTTCCCATTAACTATTCACCCCCATCATTCTTTTAGGGGTCCTACATTTGTTCCCCTCTGAAGGACATTATTTGCTTCTATTCTGCTGTCATTGAACTTCATCATTCTTCTAGTGCTTTGTCCAGTGCCTGTAGGAATACTAGTAAAGACTAAAAGCTCCATGTTGAGTTAATGAGAACCAGGGGTACACAGGAACATGATAAGACAGCTATTGTTCCATTACTAAGGCATCAACTTATTCAAACAAACATTTCTACATATGAATGATGCCCAAGGCTCCAGAAACTAACAATTTAATTTTCTTTTCTTGCAGAAAAGGAAATTTCAGAACACACCCTAGAAAGTTACAGATCAAGGTCAAATAATGATGAAACATCTTCCCAAGAGAAAAACGGACAAAGTATGTCAACTATGTAACCTGATGTTAGAAAAATAAGATTCATTTATCAATTCGCTTTAAGGAGAAGGGAGAAATATCAAAGCTTGATTTTCAGAACTAGAAAATCAACCTCTCAAATCACTTTGAAGATTTAAAGAAGTGCATCTTAAAAAAATAATCAGGCCAGATACAGTGGCACCCACCTGTAATCCCAGGAATTGGGAGGCTGAGGCAGGAGGTTCACAAGTTTAAAGTCAGCAGCATAGGGAGGTCCTAAGCAATTTAGCGAGACCCTGTCTCAAAATACAAATAAAAAAGGGGTGGGGGTGGGCTGGAGATGTGGCTCAGTGGTTAATTGCCCCTGGGTTCAATCTCTGGTACCCAAATAAAAAACAATCAGTAGCTAAGGTCATGTTGTGGAAGGTATTCCACATGGGGAAGCCTCCCCTGACTTCTGTCACACACTGGGGTGTTGTGGGTCCTTCCTGGGCCCCAGAGTGTGCTACATACACCTTTACTATGAAGCACTTCCCAGAYCATACTGTGATTTCTGGTGCCTTTGATTTAGCTACCACAATATTCTTTCATCTTGTGAGTAACTGGATTTATCCTATATCCTTGGGTCCTAGCGCAGGGCCTCACACCAATGGAGTGCTTGGTAAAGTTGTATTGAATAAATGAATATCAGCTTTAACTAATTCAAGCAGAAATGTTTCAGGTCTTTTGGGTAGCTCCATTGTGATTCTTGAAGCAAAATAAGTAGAGAAAATGAAAAGAATCTTAATGGGAAGGAAGGTGGGGTGGGGGGCATTGGATGAAGATCCAGTAGGCTAGTTTTAGGGAGAAGATTAAGAAATGTATACTTTTCAACTATTTTATGTCCTCCATGCAGATTACTTTATTCTGCCTTCGAGGAGCTTCAAGAAATATAGTGAGCTTTGTCTCTAGGTTCACTTGGTTTGACTGAGGTTTTTGTAGGAAGCCCGGTCTTTTATAATACCTTTGTCTTTCGTTTTGTTTTGACCTAGTAAGTGCACCATGGAAAGAGAGAATCGATGTGCTCACAAAAGACAGGGACACAGTGAATTGACTCTGTGAGAACTGGGGGAAGGAGGAGGAATATGTGTAAACTTCATCTGACTGACCCTTGGGTTACAAAGCATAGAGAATGATGTCATATAATGTGTAGCTTCCTATATTTTTCATAGGTGAGGGAACCAAAGAAGTGGGAGGAGAATTATGCCCCTTAGCAGGAAAAGAAAACCCCTTAGCTCAGCTGCTAAAAAGCAGAAGCCCTTGCAGTTCAACTTAAAGGAAATTTTAAAATGAGGACCTGCACTCAGCCGGTCCTCCACAGACAGGGATATCCCAGGGGCTCACCATGCTCATAGGAGATGGCACTTTCTCTTGGATGCAGACCTCCTCCTTCATCCTCCCTGCCTCAGCACCCTCAAATCCAGTGTTTTCACTGTATTTTCTTTTTTGCACATTTAAAATATATTCTCTATAGCTGYCTCCATGTCCAGTTGCATAGCTTCGAGGGGTCTGCCCCAGCCCTGTATTTCCCATGAGCCCTGTTATTTTTAATATGCAGTTTTGTTGAAGGCATTGTGCTTTTTTCAGCAACACACATGTTATACAGCACAAATGTCTGCATATTTCATTTCAGTTTTTTTAGTAGGTTGTTTATGTGAACAAGACTTTTTAAAAATTAAGGTATAACAATGTATTCAGACCACTTAAGTGTATCAAGGACTCTTAGGTTTTGTCAGATGTGGACCTTAAAATCATGATGCCCCATCAAACCGTTTCAAGAAATGGGTGCAATGTTGTTCAGGATAAATGTTCATCTTTATCTTTTATTTTTCAGCTTCTCACTCTAAACGTTGCATGAATTATATCACGAGATTGTACTCAGAAGCAAAAACAAAGAAGAAGGAAAATGCAGAACACTCAAAATTAGAAGGAAAGCACACTCATATCCCAGAGAGCATTGTGTAGTGCTCCTTGCAGTAGGAGATGATTTTTCAGCCAGCCACGCCATCAGTGGAGCAGCCCGTGGGAAGGAGCATCAGTTTTGTGACATGAAAAGTGTCCCTTGAGTGCAATGTGAGATGGTGTCTTCTGAGCCAGGGCAGCAACATGGGGACCAAACCATGAACAGAAAGCTCATAGTTTTTTTAAAAAAAAAAATTAAAGAAAGAAAGAAAGAACCTATTATTCCTGACACTACTTCAGAGCCCCTGAGCCTGTGGATCAGGGTCAATGTGACCAGCTAATATCTTACCTTGAGAGAACAGGAGTTTTTAGATACCAGGCTCTAGTAGAACTTCTTAAAAAAAGAATTCTTTAAAAATATCTTTTCTTCTGGTCACAAAATAAAGATGTTTGAGATGAGAAGTACCTAAAGAAGATCTCTGATCCTAGGAGGTTACTTTCAAGATGGACTCTAAGAAGATGTAACCAACACRTGACAGGGAGGAGCCATGCATCACAATGAATAAATCCAGGATGGATCTAACAGCCCCAAGACACAAGCCATGAGCTCAGGAAGGACCCAAGAATTAGCCTTTCTTATCTTAGACTTTACTGCTAAATCACTTCAGCTGACCTGATAGACAACCTGGTATTTCCATGTACAAAAAGAAATAATGAGTTTATTGACTGATCATTGACCTAATGAATGGTTTTTAAAAATTTCTTTAAACCAGGCACAGAGGCATATGCCTGTAATCCCAGCAGCTGAGAAGGCTGAAACAGGAGGATCACAAGTTCAAGGCCAGCCGCCACCGCAATTTAGAGAGGCCCTAAGCAATTTAGCAAGACCTTGTCTCAGAATAAAAGGGCTGGGAGTGTAGTTCAGTGATAATGAACCCCTGGGTTCCATCTCTAGTACCAAAAATTAAAAATTTTTTAAAGGTCTAAAAAAATTAAAATTCTTTAATAAAGAAAAGAACGTATAATTGTTTTTTGAATGATTGTGATCCAAGTTGCACTTCCTGCTTCACATATATATGAAAGTGACATGGGACATGTATTTTTATTTACTTTTTCCTACCATTTTATTTAAGGCATAGTGAACTGGCATTATGTAGTATATCTCTCAGTGTTTGGATCTGAATAAACCAATTTTAAGATAACACACAAGCACACCCATATATGAGTTTGTAATTTGTTACAGGGACCAGATCCTACTGTGATGATTTTTAAAATTTTTTAACAATCACAAAATTTTAGAAAAGCATAAAGATGGCACAAAGCACTCTCTGATTCTATCTGAGAGTGAGTTGACAGGATGCCCACCACCCTGCTGCCAAATACCTCAGTGTGAATTTCCTACTAACAAGGACACTCTCCTTTATAATCACAATGCAACCATCAAAATCAGGAAATTATCACTGTTATGTTTCTGCTAATAGTCCTCAGATGCCATTCAAGTTTCTCCAATTATCCCAATTGTCCTAAAAGACCCAGCTCAAATTCACACTTCATCTTCATCTCATTCAGTTTGGAATAGTTCCTCGATCTCTTTATTTTCATGACCCAGATATTTTTGCAGGATACAGGTTAAGTATCTTGTGGGCCATCTCTAAGTTTGGTGTTGTCAGATATTTCTGCGTGGTTACATTCAAGTTACACAACTTCCATTGGATTGTCAAGAAGCCATGTAATGTTTATTTCATTGCATTTATTTATCCCATTCTATTGAGGGCACTCGTTTTGATCATTTGATTCATGAAGTATCTGTCAGATTTTTCCACTTGTAAAGGTACTTTCTTCTCTTTAAAAGTTAGTGTTTTGTGGGGAGATACTGTAAAACTATGCAAATTTTTCTTCCCCATCAAACTTCAAAATTAGTCATTTATTTGCTTATGTGTATATGAATTCATGGTTTCCTCTGGTTATGATTCCACAGGTTATAATCTGATACTATCAAGTTAATCCATTGCTAATTTCATGATGGAGTTGTAGAAGCTGCCTTCTGTGTCTGTCCAATATAGCCTCCTCAATCTTCAAGCACTTTCTTGCTTTCTGGTACCAGGTATTTCAGGCTTATCTTAAACGTTGTCTGCCTGGCTCTGGAATCAGCCATTTCTCCTAGGATTCCTGGTTCCATTCAGTGGCAAATGGCATTTGGAAGCCAAGATCCAGGGCTAGGTATACTCATTGCTTTTGGGGGTGTCATTGTTCTCAAGCCTTCTCAGTGGACAGAGCAAAGGAATACATGATAATTTACACAGGGTGTGTGTGTGTGTAGTCGTACATATGTACATATTACACATATGTATGTATTTGTTTATGTTTATGTCTATCTATTGAAAATCATGAGTTTATTCTAGGTTTCTTCCTTTATATATTTGTAACACCCTTCTCTGAGTATCTTGCTTTCATTATCCTTAATGTTTTCTTATTTGATCAATACCCAGAATGATCAATCACCTCTGCTTCCATACTGTTCTCCTCAAGAATTCTTCCTCTTACTGCCCAGACACTGATTTCCCATTCTGTGTTCCTCTCTCCACCCACACCACGTGGMTGCTCTGCTCACCAAGCTTGGGCCCTCACATCCATAGCAGGTGGCCCTGCTGTATGGAGACTTTGGTGCACATGGGCACACATACACACACTGCTGTACTCTAACCTTTCCCACCCATTCAGGCATCGATACAACATGCTGGGCAGCTCACCCAGGGGCACCGCCTCCTACCAGGCTCAGATTGGATATCCCCTCTAAGCCTCTACAGCTTTCCTTACTACCACCACTATGGATTCCTGCTTTGCTCCACCCCATCTAAAGACTTTAGGGATGAATTGTTTGGTAAGAGAAGTGAAGGAGTTGGGAGACGGAGAATGAGCCAGATGTTCTGCTTTTCAAGAGAGTTTTAACGTGTAAAGACATCAAGGTCAGGCATGCCATTTATAGTTGTGTAGTGGCTCTGAGTCAGAAATCATTTACAATGCTGTCACTCTTCTATGAACAACGCAGAGGGAAGAATACTTCCACTTCAGAGATGGTGCTTGTCGAGGCTGATTAAACCTACTGTTGTATCGGCAGCCTCTGAGTCTACATTTGCAAAGAATCCTCCCAAAGGATGTAAAAGTGACTGCTTCCATTTCTCTAGTTCCAACTCAAGAGGCTGTTATAGGGACAAAGGAGGCAAGGCATCGAAGATAGCAGGAAACAGTTTTATTTGGCTGCAGCCAGGTTCAGAGGGCACAGCTTTTGCTGTAATCAATTAATCCCCTGAACCCCGAGTTCAGAGAGTTTTAGAGTTTTATACCCAGTATGTAAGGGGAGGGGCTCAAAAGTTCACAGTCTGCAAAAGTTCATATAAAAGCAGCTTTTTCTTTCGCTGTTCTGGGCATGTTAACTCTTCAAGGACAACACCTGAGAAGGGGAGAGCCTCTTCTCCCCTTCCTTTCCTCCCCCTGCCAGCTGTTACCATGGAGCCCAATTGTAACTTATCTTAAAAATGTTGACTTCTCTGTGAAGCCTCAGCTCAAGGCCAGAGGCCTTAATTGCACATTTCTTCAAAGTATTATACTGGATATGTTTGTGAAAAACTAGTAAGGGGGTGTCCAGCATCTGGAGTGCTGGTATCTTCTCTGCCAGTGGCCAAGTAAACAGGGCGACAGGAAAATAGGAAGTTTATCTACAGTGAACTGTTTTGCAGAGACTTTTGCTGACCTAAAATCAGTCTGGATGAAGATTTCTGGAGAGGCTCAGTTAAGACTTTTCAGTGAAGAAAGGGGGTGCCACTTCAAGACCAGACTAATGGGCTAACATTTCAGGAACATGCAGGGCAGAGATAATCAGAGTCAGCCAGCTGTCAAAAATGCCCAAGAGGATTTCCTAAAAGAGGGGTCCCCGGGTTTGTTCCCAGTGGTTGGCCTCAGGAGACCTGAGGTGAAGTTTTAGAATCTGCATTTTCTAAAAGTTTCTTGAGTAATTCTAACAGGCTGGGGGACTCTGGTGGAGCACTAACCACAACTTTTTTTTTTTAATTTTTATTGTTGGTTGTTCAAAACATTACATAGTTCTTGACAAATCATATTTCACACTTTGATTCAAGTGGGTTATGAACTCCCATTTTTACCCCGTATACAGATTGCAGCATCACATCA